GGGACTGTCCCTTGTTTATATATTTAGACCATCATGTTTCCAACAGCACTATGTCTGAGCTGCAGAGACATCCTCGTGGAAAGCAAAAGTCTCTGTCCATTAACCATTGCTCACCTCTGCAGTGTTACTAGCTGTATGCAATCCCCACGAGGATGATACCATCGACCTTCCTTAGCCTATTTCCGTGTCCAGCAACCTGGGCTCCACTTCATCCCTCAGGACTCATTCAGTGGGTCCCAAGGAGTATAGGATGTAGAAATGGTCATCCTCAGGATATCACTCTATGAAGGAAGTGCAGCGCTTTAAAAGGAACTGAAGACAAAGACTGACACATGGGGAGATGTCAGATTGGTTTCTTTTGTCTGGCTTTGGTTTATGTCTGGTCTGGCACACAGTGTCTGTCCCTCCATGCTGAGTCATGTGAGTGAGCTGGAGGCCCTGTGTTCCCATCTGTTCAGCTTCTTCAGCCTGGCCACCCACAAATCTCTTTTCCCTTGTCAGATCTTCAGGCTTGTAATGCTGTGAAGCCTGAGCTTGCAACACTGACACCATCATCTGGAGCGGTGGTTGATTCAAACAGTTTCAAGGATCTTGATCAACAATCCCACAAATGGAAGTAATGATGTTGGTCCTTTCCTTGGACCCAGTCCAACAGAATCATAGAATAGAATAGAATCATAGGATGGTTTGGGTTGCAAGTGACCTTAAAGATCATCTAGTTTCAACCCCCCTGCCATGGGCAGGGACACTTTCCACTAGAGCAGGTTCCTCAAAGCTCCATCCAACCTGGCCTGGGACACTTCCAGGTAGGGTGCAGACACAACTTCTCTGGACTACCTTTTCCATCTCACCACCCTCCACAGTAAAGAATTTCTTCCTTATATCTAATCTGAATCTACCCTCTGTCAGTTTAAAACAGTTACTCCTTGCACTATCACTACACTCCCTGATAAAGAGTCCCTCCTCATCCTTCCTGTAGCCCCCTTTAGGTACTAGAAGGCTGCTACCAATACCCCCAAGTCCTTCTCTGCAGGGATCTCAATCCATTCATTGCCCAGCCTGTATCTGTGCTTAGGATTGCCCTGACCCATGTGCAGGACCCTGCACTTGGCCTTGTTGAATTTCATGAGGTTCGCACAGGCGCACCTCTCTAGCCTGTGAGGATCCCTCTGGATGGCATCCCTTACCACACCACTCAGCTTAGTGTCATGTGCAATCTTGCTGAGGGTGTACTCAATCCCACTGTCCATGTCCCCAAGAAAGATGCTAAATAATCCTGGTCCCAGTGTGGACGCCTGAGGGACACTACTCATTCCTGGTCTCCACTCAGACATTGAGTTGCACTCTTTGAGTGCAACAGTACAGCCAATTCTTTATCGTCTGAGTGGCCCATCCATCAAATCAGTGTCTCTCTGTTTTAGAGACAAGGATGTCATATGGGACAGCATCAAATGCTTTCCACAAGTCCAGGTAGATGAAGTCAGTCACTCTTCCCTTATTTGTAACTCTGTCACAGAAGGCCACCAAATTTGTCAGATATTGTTTGCCCATAGTGAAGCCATGTTGGCCATCCAACAGTCCTAGCTGTGGTAGGTCCAGAGCAATCCGGGTATACTGACTTCATCATACCATTAACACCAGCATCTTACCTTGTGTAAAGAAGCCTTAAGAACCCCGACAGAGTCAATTACTTTTTCCACGCCTTGGGATTGCCATTCACAATCAGTTATACTGTGATTCTCCTTTACACTGCCATTAGACATTGTCAGAAGCATTGCCATGTGAGGCTGTGCACAAAGACCCAGTCTCTTCTCCAACCTTTGACTAACTGGTCATAGCACTTTGACATTTTGTCCTGCTTCTATAAGGAGACATATGGAGGCTCAAAGTCACCCTTACTACTTACTGTCCAAAATGTCCAGGTTTTATTGATTATACTACAAACTTCTGAGGTTGGAGGTATAAAAGGAAGTCTCTGTTCCCTCTGTCACTGCCCTGAGACATATTACCCTCATCACTGGGACACTGTGAAGTTAGAGCCTGCTCGTATAGTTACCTTTCACTGTGTTCATTTTGCAGAAAATTCATCCTCTGCCTTCTGTCACAGAACTTTTGTTTCCATGACTTAGGAAACAGTGCTCAGACTTTCATACATCCTCCTGAAGAATGCACGAAACTGAATGTTCCCATAACCTGACATCAACACTACCAGATACCTGACTATCTTTGCTAAATCTGTAAGACCATAATGAAATCCACTAATATTTCTTGGTAATTGCCTGCCTTCTGCCTGTTCACTACAAAGACAATAGACTGGAAATGCTCAGATCAGATTTCCTATATCACTACCACCTACTTTAATAACCACTGCACCTTCTCAACATAGGAAGAAATCTTGATTTTGAGATCATGGTCTTCAGCATTCCTCTAGTGTCATCTTCCAAACTGCCAAGCACTTTCTGTTCTTTAATAACAGAAATTACAGTCTCCTTTGTCACTCTCTTCCTCCAATAAGTGCTTTATAGTGACTCCATCTGAGATCAAGCTAACTTCTCTGACTTTTTCACAGGTTACATGATGCATCAGCTATGGCTTGGAAGGCCATGGTCTCTGCAATTTTAACAAGATCTCCCAGTCTTCTTATCTCCAGAAGGACACTAAATCCTTGGTTGAAGATGTGCCCTTTGATGACATTATTTGTTGTAGTTTAAACACTGCAAGTTCCTAAATTATGTGTTTTAACCCAGACTGACTCTGGTTGCTTTGGGGATGAAGCCCAATACCATAGCTCTTAACAACAGTTGAGACTTCCTGACTGCTCCAGATGTTGCTATGGATTTCTACATCAAAAAACTTCCTCCAGAAATTTTTTCCCCACCTTAGATATCATCTTCCTGCTAGCACTCATACAGGTGCGCCCAAAAGCCACAGTGTAAGCATTTCATGTTATCTGCTCTTCTTCACTACCTATCATCTCCTGTCCCTTTGAGAATGTTGACTTCACTCTTCAAAACATGTCTATGCATATTTGACAGAGCTCTCATCACTGTAGTCAAGGCTGCAAGTGTAATTTCCCTCTCCACTCCCCCTCAACAAGCTAGATGAGTATCTCATTCTTGGCCCAGTTAATTCATTTCTGCTCACCTGTCACTAATGAAGATGTTTTATGTGCAGCTTTTCTCACATCCCTGAAAGAGTTAAGTGAGTGCCTAGTCCCTCAATTAGACTTGAACTTATTATTTAAGACTGTTTGGAACCCTTCTATGCTATAAATAATGGTGTCTATCCTGATAGATATCTCTCATGCTAAGAAACTGGACCGTATGGCTGTTCTACTTATAGCAGTGTTCTTTCAGCAGAGGGTGACCCTCCAAGTACAACTTAAACTTCTCACCCATGTTGCAGACAAGACTCACCTTAACTAGGAGACCAGCTTGCCTGTTTTTTGGTTGGTTCTTGTGTTGTTTTTTCTTCCCCAAGATGCCTGTGGTTGAGGCTTTTTCTCACTGTCAACATCGAGAGGGATCTTTCTTTTTATACTGACACCAAATCCTGGAGACTGTTACCAAATCTGATATCTTAGTTCTCTCAATGTGTTGCCTGTCCAAGTGAACATACACAGCTTCCATGCATTGCCAATGTGGAAACAGCAGCGCACGCTTTCTCCTAGACCTCATGCAGAATAAATGGAATGGATGGTAAATATGTCTTTCCCTGACAGCTGCCACACTGAGCTTCTGGCAAACCTGTGCCTGACACTACAGTGTACAATTGTTAACATGCTGTTAACATTTACTAAAGAGTTTCTGCACTGTTTTCATGAACATCTTCAGTCCCCACACCCAGGTAAATATGAATGTGTACTGATTATTGGCTGGAGTTCCCTTCCATGTGAATGTACATGGAGCTACAGTTTGAAGATGGAATGAGAAGTTACCAGCAACTGGCTTCTTCAAGTAGTCCACATGTACATTCACTTTCCACCCTCCTTCCCCCTTCCAGAAACCTGGCGGGATTGGGACTCTGCAGCTGAGATACAGCTGCAAAGGCCATTGGGCTCCTTCCAGAGGTGCCTGTGACTGCTGCAAAATTAAGTTATCTTGTCTTCATAATAAGATACACTCTTTGAATTCATGCATGGAGTATGCAAATTGAAAAACTGGTTGCTGATTTTTTTTTATTTAACACTGAAAATATCATTCAGAATGAAAAGTCGGTTCTATTCTTTTTCTTTTTTCCCGACTCTCCCTCGATTCAGTATAATTTGCATACTGCAGCACTCGTTATGTCTATGTCAAAGACTTGGGGGCGGTATGGTGGTGGGTAGTGTTATATAAAATCCCACAGAAACTTGCAAAAGTAATGCGGTCTCAGTTATGAAGAAAACTCTACTCTGAATGTATTTCAGTAAGTGTATTTCAGATGGGAATACTATAAAAAGTGCATAAATTAGTTGCTTGATATAGCATTTTCAGGACCATGTTATTAAAAAAGGTGAGATATGGCATTCTGCTGTATCCTTCACGTCATTTAAATGGTTCTATATTTGTCAACGCAGTTGTCAATGAAATTTCATTGCAGCATTTCTTTTTATCACTTGCAAATTTATCAGGCTACTTGAGATTTTATTTTGTTTTGTAAATCAAGGACTATAATGAGACTGTTTTATAATAATATAAAAAGAGTCTATCATTTGGATTCCTCGTTCTTAGAAAAAGTTCTTCCAGACCAAGCTTAGTCCCTGCTTCCACTGAGTAATTGCATCTGCTTAGGTTTGAAATCGTGAATTACATAGAAGAAAAGTACTTTTGCAAAGCTTTATAAAACACAGAACCAAAACTATTATACCAGGCTGAATACCTATTTAATTTATGTTACTGTTCTAGGTGTTTCTTAGCATTAAGAGAGGAAATATATAATTAATTTTGAATTAGTGCAGGTAGAAATAGGGCTGAGTTGTTGGTCCTCACTCTGCAGATGTATCTTTTGTGTTGAATTAGGTGGAAACAGCAACTGATTCAGATACTGAAAGCAGAGGCCTACGGGAATACCACTCTGTTGGAGTACAAGTAGAAGATGAAAAACGGTAATTTAAGAATATACAAAAATCTGTAGTCTTTTATAACACAACACACATTTGTAAGCAGAGTTAATAAACATCTGGCATGTGCTGCCCCTAAATAATTCACAAAGCCAAATTTCTTATAGGCAAGCTGGTCATTTGGTAAAATTTTTAGAGATTATTTAGCAGTTGCTTAATACTTAGTTAACTTTCCAGTCTTTAATTGGAGGGAAGGTAGTAAACGTTTTAAATTAAAGTACTGGATGAATATAATTTGTTGGCATAACAAATTCAAAAAGCTGTCTATTAGAATACTTTTCCTTTGATAGGACCCCTCACACTGATCCAGGCTTTCCCAATCCACACAGAGTGATACAGCAGTTAGGAGGTAACCCATGGTACCTTCATCCTAAACTAGAATCAGCTTTTATGCTTGTTCAGTCTTTCTCTAGGTTTGTAAAACTGCTGGCCCACGTACTAACCCACAGTTTATCTGTGGCAGGCACTGCCTATTAAGTACTGGACTGGGACCATTATCTCATTTCATGGCAGCTGTCAGTATCTGACTTCTAATTACCTTTTACCATCATTGACTAGAAGTAATTTGAAACAATAGTCTCAGATGTGAAAAGATTTCACAAATAATGTTTGCTTCTTTGTCTAATTTTTTTTTACTTAAAGCTTTTCTAAAATGTCATTATTTGGTGGCATATCACATTAGAAAATCAACATTTAATAGCTGTCCTATGAGGCAAGTAAAAAATACCACAGTCTTAAACCTGTTGCTACTATTTTTCTTTTATTAGAGGATCCTCAACAGTCCTAACTTAGGAAATTTTCAGATTTTGTCTAATTAAAATTCTTAATATTTATTTTCTTTATATCCATGTACTTTACAGACTTCTGTCAGGAAATGTAATCTTGCAGTTCTGTTAGTTAGTTCCAGTTCATTTAGTAATGATACATGATATTTTGAATTATCACAATAAATCAATATATGCTTCCAGTGACAATTTAAATTATTTTCTTTTGTATCTTTGCACAGATTAATGATGCCACTATGCATTTTGGTTTTCCTCTGTTTTTACTCATTGTCTTATTTTAGTGCGACATGCACAAAGAAAAAATATTTAACATGAAGTCCAAGGAGAAAACCAAAATCCATTCACTGAAACATTATTCTATGCCTCTGTATAATCACATATGTATTTATATGTCTTAGTCTCTTTTCTTTCTTCCCTCTTCACCAAGACACGGTCGATTCAAGCGCTCAAACAGTGTAACAGCAGCTGTCCAGGCTGACCTGGAACTGGAGGGTTTTCCAGGACATATCACCATGGAGGACAAGGGACTTCAGTTTGGTTCATCGTTCCAGCAGCACTCAGAGCCCAGCACACCCACCCAATACAGCGCAGTGAGAACTGTACGGACACAGGGACTGTTCAGTTACAGAGAAGATTATAGGACCCCAGTTGACACCTCAAACCTTCCACCACCAGAACCCTGGCTAGAGCCAGCCATTGAGACAGTAGAGACTGGTCGAATGTCTCCTTGTCGACGGGATGGATCTTGGTTTATGAAGTTGCTACATACTGAAACTAAGAGAATGGAAGGATGGTGTAAAGAAATGGAAAGAGAAGCAGAAGAAAATGATCTTTCTGAAGAAAGTAAGAACATTTCAGTATCTTTTCTTATAGATGTCTGCTAAAATAAGAAATTGGTTAGGATAAAGTTGTGGTCTGTAGTTTATCCTTACTCATTTTGGAGTAAGAAAGATACTATACAGAACCATTAGAGAGAAGACCCCTGTCCTGCAACTGACTGTGCAACCTGGTGTTTTCCAGAGTAAAGTTTTGTAGAAGTAGTTGAGGACCCAACTGTAGAGACAAGCACAGGTTCAAAGTCTGGTTTTAGAAATGGCTCAAATGGTACAATAGCTCCATCCACAGCTCCAACTCTGACACAGTCTTCCCACTCACTTCTATGGCTCCAGTGTTCGACCCTTTGACAGAGTACACAAGGAGATCCTATGTGAACATTTTTTTTCTGTTTTCCTGAAACCTGAGAATTTGCCTGTTATTGACGAACAGTCATTTTTAAAATATTTTCATTCCTTTACAGGCACTTGTGCCTATCTTAAAGGGTCTGTTGGAAGAACAGAAAGGAGTAGGCAAGAACAATAGTTAAAGCACTTCTGCAGTTACACAGGCATATGCACTATTAGATAGTTCAGCTGCATTTTCTTATTATAATTTTGTCAAGAATCGTTATTATTCTCTCACATCTTGTGGACACCTTGAAAGGAGTGATGGGATAAAGTGAAAAATAATGTAGACTATTTTGGAACAAGATCCAAGACAGCACTAATGATAGTAATATATCAAAGTGGTCCTAACATGCAGTAGCCAGCTCCCTGTGATTCCCTCTGAGGTCAATTATCCTTGTTCTTCAGGCTTAGTTTTAGAAATATTTCAGTCCCTGCAATCTGAATTATTGTCTTGGCTGAGATTTTCTCAGATCACAAATTAGTTCATATAGGGTTTTTTTACTAGGATCTTTTCCTGCACTCTCATGAATCTCACCATCACCTCTGAAAACTCTTTTCTGATCATCTTCTTTCCCCCTCACTGAGTTCTTGCTATGATCTACCCTCGGGTCTTGGGCCAGGCTGCGTGGTAACTAAAAGGCCAATTTCTATTTCTTGTGCTGACCTCTTCAAAAGAAAGGATGTCTACATTTTTACCTCATCACTTTTTATTTTACAGCCATACTTCTGCACTTTATTGTGCACAAGTCTGCCAAGTAACAACATAGGATTTGAGGTGGGGGAGAGAATAAGGCTGTTTTTCTTCGTTCAGCCTCCAGTGCTTTCTGGAGTGTAGGTTTTTGTCCTTATTTTCATCATGGCAGAGCTGAGCTGAGAATTTTCCCTTTGCATTCATATTGTGAAGACTTTAATACTCTCCTAGGGGCTGTTAAAGTACGAATAATAAAATATTTTGCTTTGCTTAGCCCATGTGAGGATTTCCAAGCCTTCTTTCTTAATGGTTGGTTTTTTAATACTTCTTTTTATCGTATACGTCTTATTTTTCAAGTCCCCAAATCTTTGCACTGCTGAATACTGACATTTCTCTGCCATCATGGAGTATCCCAAAGCACCTGCTTTCAAGGTTGCCTGTTACTGATGTGGGGACATGAGTGCTTACAATCTGAACCAGAAATTCAAAGAGCAAGACTTTAATCTCCTTAGAGTAAAATTATTAGGGAGCAAAGGGGAGAAACACACATGTGGTAAGCCCCTCTCTGCCCCTAAGAGGCTAGTGAGAAGTCTGCAGGCAAGGGGTGGACTTTTCCCACCTCCTCTCTCTGCAAGCTCTTCCTCATGCACAGCCCTAATCAAATCTGCAGCCACATGAAATAAGCACTGGAAGCACTCTCACGCCAGTACTCCTTCATTCAGAAACACACATAGGGAATTAACAATTTTACTCTAGAATACAAAGCTGTGTACTACATTAAGAAAACTTGGAGGAGCTGATTTTAGCTGCCTATCTCTTCCTAGGTGCAGAACCAGCCTCTCTCCCACCATGTGAACCTATGCTCTTGCACTCCAGAAATACATTGAAACACCTTACTGCATGGGGAGATGGCGATTAGGAAGATAGTTTTCAGTAAACTGTACAGAGGACATGAAGACAAATGGGACTTCAGCATTTTTTATTAATATTTGGAGTTAGTGACACCCTTTTAACCTAGAACATTTCAGTCTGAAAATGAAATGGAATATCAGGATTTTATGTTACCCTCTTTACGGAGTGACTACTCTGTAAGAGAAAAAGAGCAATTCTCTGATACAGTTACTAAAACACAACTAAAACAGACCCTTGAAATCCTCTTTTAAAACCAACCAAAATGGGTTAATTACTTGTGTTTGGGGGAACATTTTGACTGCCATAATAGGTTAGAGAAATTATTATAGAATAGGTCTATACATATGCAAAATCAGATGTTTGTCTTCAGCTGATTGTCAAAAGTATCACCCAGACATCCGATTTTTCATTTTGTGTGACTCATTTCAAGAGATTTTCCTTAAATAATTTCAAAATTACATTATATTTGAAATGCTATCCCTTCACCTAATATAGCTTACATCAAGTAAAAGGAACTTCTCAAATAATTATTTTCACCAAGGGAATGAGCTTCAAAGCATTTTAAAATTTTAGTATGAATAATTTTTTCCTGTTGAGTCTTTGACATATTTTGTATCCCCAGTTTGAGCTATGGAGGTTGAAAAGTATGTATCCACAAGAATTGAAGTTTAATGATATCCCAACATGAAATGTGTCTTGACATATTTAAGCATTTAGCGGTTCCCTGAAGAAAATACATGCAAATGGGGGAGCCAGAAGCAACTGAATATGTTTTTCCATCTTCCAGCAGGAGCTACTATTCCCAAAACACTTTGCAGCAAAGTTTGCACATTCAAACTGTCATTGTTAATGTTGAATCATTCATTTTCAGCCTAGGTATATTAATTGTACCTGAAGACCAAATATAGCTTTACATGTCATAGGAGAAGGCTGTCTTTAGCATATCATTTCGATTTAGTTTTAATCACGGGAAGAGTTAAAATAGAACTGTATTTTAGAAAACAATTTCATTTTCTGCATTTACACAATAGCCCTGAGATCACAGACTGCTGTCTGATTGCTATATTGATTTTTTCTTTCAGTGTAGCTTTTCTCCCATAATGTTGTTTTAAGAACCTCACTCACCAGGTCTTAGAAAAGGAGAAGATAATCATTGCAGTAAAAATAACCTCTCTTTCTTTTCACAGAATTTGTTTATTTGGTCAGTTGCCATGAATTGTGTTTTGGAGTCTCTGTAAAGTTCATATATTGTTTGTGGGGGTAGTTATATGTGTTCTTAGTGTTTATTATAACACATAGATAAATATATATATGTGGCTGTAACTGTTCCCAGGGTAAGTCATCTGATCATTTGCACTAGCAGAGTGCCTTCAAACAAAAAGATGTGTTTCTCCAGGGTGCTGACTGGAGTTTCAGTTTTACACCCTGAAAATTGTGTTTGGCTGTGACTGATGTCTAGGTGATGACAAGAAAAACACTCTCAATTGTCACAAAGCTATTGCAAACCAAGAGGGCCAGGACTGTGCTGACTGCGAGCTCTATGATGGGAGCAGGGAGACTGGCGCAGGGAGGGGGGGAGTAAGCGAGCCCAATGGGGAGCCACAGTCCCTGCCCACAGCTTGTAGGCAAGGACTGGCAGAGGGAAGCAAAAGACATCCTGGGCTTCTGAATGCCACATATTTGGCCACTGAAATATTTCAATACACAAGGCAAATAGAGAACAGCCACACAGAGTTTACTCTCATATAAAAGTCCTAAGATAGCAAAAAAAAATTAGCTATAGTATAAGCTATGCCAGCAGAGGGTGGTTTTGCTGGTATCTTCTGTATTGTGGTTAGGAGGTCTGCTGGCATAGCTACATAGTAAAGTGATCTCTAATGGGAAAAAAAAAAAAAAAAAAAGCATTAGAGTGAGAGCTCAAAATATCACCCTTCTCTCCTTCTCTTCCCCTACCCCTTCATTCCATGGATGTTGGATTTTTCCTTGCTAATCCTCTGTCTGATATTTCCACAGTACTGCAAGGGCTTTACTAACACAGCCAAATAGTAACAGAAAACATAAGAGTTAAATCTCCCATAGTTTGGGGGAAAAAAAATTACAACCAATTTATTTTAGTATATTCAACAATTAATCATCCATAAAAGCTTTTTTAGGTATTTGACCAAATATGGGTTATCCTTTATCCAAAGAGAAATTACTGACATAATTTCGTAATGCTTTTCACAAACCTATCCTTCAGGAAATATTGAAATTTACATTTGGAGTGTTGTGAATGACTACAGAATGTCTTAATTGCCCTGAAACAGTCTTTAAAGTCAATAAAATACAGTCCCATAGTGTGGAATCTAAGAATTACTCCTGGAATTTGTATTGTTCTGCTCAAATTTTCTCCTTTTTGAACTCATCTCCATTGAGGTAAAAAGCAAATTTTCCCTGAGTCCCACTTGGTGCACAAAGATCCCATTGCCCTAACTACCCTTCAGAGCACTACTAACTGGTAGCTGTGTTGTCCTAAAACGTCATCTCACACTAAACATTATACATTTATTATTACACGTACCTGCTGAGTTGATAGTGAAAAAGACATATATTTCTGAAGATTACTAATTGTAGGTTTAGAGATTAGACAAGTATCATGTCCTGCTTTGAGTTACAAGGATGAGCTAAATGCCAGTTTCAGTATTTTTTCCAGGCATATTTTCTCAGATTGTTTGTATAGCAATTTATTTACAAATGGGGGGGCGGGGGGGGGGGAAGTAACAATCAAATTGAATGAATATTTCAATACATACGCATCTTTTAAATAAACAGTAATTAATACCAGAGGCAGATTTACTGTTAGTAGTTTCTCACTGCTGGTGCAGCAGTGGCACAACTGAGCAAAACTTCTAACCTGTCAAGAATAGAGTTTCAGCATCTGACTATAATCTTTGTTTCATCAGTATAGATCTAACTTTTCCCCCTCTATATTTGTGCTATGAAACCAGTTTTAATTACAAGACTTTGCAGCATTTCTCAAGCAATACAACACATATATATTACTTGCAATTTTGTAATATGTTTACTGCAGGGGAAAAGACACCATTGTGTTAATTATGCATGCTGTACACAGGCAATTTACACAATCTCTATCTAGGGTATAAATCCTGAGTCTGCTCCTATTGCAGTCATGGTCAGAGTTTTGTCTGTAGTCAGAGCAGAAGCCATACAGCATCACACAACAAAATGGAGTGCTTCATACACGTCAGGGAGCAGAATTAAGGTTGTGTGAGTCTTTTGTGATATTCAAGTAAATATAACATTATCTTAATGAAGGGAGGTATATGAATCATAAGAAATTACATATATTTATATGTGTTGGTAGATTTTATCATAATTTATTTACAAGCAAAATCTTCTAGGCATCACCAAACATCTCGATCTCTCCAGTCTCTAACATTCATCATTCTTTCATGGAGATAATCAATCTGCACTCATCAGAATAATTCCCCAATGCATGAAATTAATAACAAGGCTTTGACTGTCTATTAATATTGTGCTAAAGATTATGAGTTGAAGTGTTTTAATACTTTAATTTAATTACAGCGAAAGCAGAGTAGCATGCATATGAGAAATTTTAACTTCTGTGTTTTATTATGTCTGATTTACTTGTTGAAACAGAAATAGAGTTAGATCTTTAGTAAATGGTAGGGCTGTAATTATACATGTGTCTTCACCACTGTGATTCAGTGACACATGCAAGTAGCCCAGAACCACTGTCTTTCTTACACCCCCAACGGATGTGTATATCACACCAAAATGCTTGTCTTGTCTTGTCTGACTGGGCTTTAAATCACTAATGCTTGTTTACATGATCCTTCAGGATAACAAAGATAAAACAAATGTTTACTTAATATGAGGGTTGAGGTAACTGTGAGATTCACTAGAAAATACCAGTCATGTATAGTCTGTCAAGATCTACATTTCTGCAGTAGGGCTAAAGCCAGTTCCTCTTACTCAGCCTATGTATTTGAGCTATGAACTCTAAAATTCAGCAGAGGAAACTAAAACTGAACTTTACTCACTATGAGACAGGCACTGTGATCATCAGCCTACAGAATCATCCTCACTCTCTTTCTGCCCAGTGAATAGTTGAACTGAGCATTGAACAGGCAATGTGAGGGACCTGCTACAGCATAATTCCCTATCCTGGCAAAGAAGACTCACCCCACGCTGGGAGTTTGTCTTATGTCCTGAGATACAGAGCATCGAGGGAAAAGGAGGATACCAGGCTGTTTGTCACTTAAGTCTTTGCCTTTATTAAAAATGCTGAAAACCAAATTAAAGCAATTTGTTTCAGATTAAATGAAACATTTCTTTTTTTATTTAGGCTTTTGTTTGATTTCTCAGGTTTTAACACCCAAAACATTATTATCCATATGCCAATAAATCTACAGAGGAAAGTGAATGGTTTGGTGATCAAAAACCCCAAACCAATTAAAATGTTGTATTTCATTTGGCCAACAAACAAAACCAAAACCCTAGCAAATTACTCATGCAGCCCTGAACTACTTAACCCTTTCACAAATGAGTGCCACACAAGACTGATGAATTATGCATATTGCTATTTAATTTAGTGTTGTGGCACAGCTGTATTGTTAGTCTAACAGAAAATGGAATAGAGTTTGAGAACCACAGCTCTACATATTAACACATGCTTTTAAAGTTACAGAGTTTGTATGCTTCCACAGAACTGGAGTCTAAAACTTCCAATTTATGTCTTGTTGCTACTAGTGATTAAGCAGATGTTTCACTTGTCTGGAGAAAACAGAATTAAAATGTAATACCTACTACCAAAATAATTCTGTTTTCACACATCACTCGGTCCCTTCCTATACTTATTCTAAGCAACAACAAACTATTAAGCCCTTCCAGAGTTTAATGTTTTCTATATCAGAGGCTGCAGATCAGTTCTGCTGTACTATTGTAGCTTAATTCCACCCTTTGCACCCTGTTTGAATTATCAATTTGGTTTCCTCAAAATTAATTAAAAGATGTCAGAGTAATTCCTGTCTCACCCCTGCCCCTACCTCTCTCTATCTTTACCCTAAACATTATTTAAATTCCGGGAAGTTCTTTGGATAAAACCAATCTTCCGCAGCTTGTAATGCTTTTTAAAGTGTTGCTTTTTCAGCATAGAAGTGGATGTGGAGGAAAGGAAGTGTAGGAAAGGACGTGTAGGAAGGAGGTGTAGGAAAGTGTATTGCTACCTACCAAAGTATGATATTTATCCCAGCAAATGTGGGAGTCCAGGAGTTAGTTTTCTAGGGATAAGCCAGTCCCCTTAGGCACTTGTCAACAGAAAGAAATAGGCATCTCCAGGAAGAGATTCAGTTCATCTAAAAATAAGTGCTTAACATGGCTGAGCTGAAGAGCTCAGATTACTGATTATAGAGCATCCAGAAATTTTGATTTAGAGATAAGTCTTGGAAGCAAAGTCAAGTAAAATGAATTTGGTCCTTTTCCCCAGTGCTTATACACACTGTAAATGGCAAGTGCACTGACAGTGGGGAAAGCCTAATAAACCATGTGGGCTGATCACAATTCAGCAAAGTCCTGGAGCACCTGCTTGTGCCCCACTTTGTCTGGAGCTCCTGTACTTAGGACTTTGTGTTTTTTCCTGGTTAGGCAACCTATAACTCCTAATGGGGAGATAAGACATGTCTCAGAGACATGATTCCTCTGAGGATCTCATCCTTATGGTAGGAGTATCTTACGTTATAGTTTAATGTATTAACCTTAACCCCAGAACAGATAGGATAAAGAGTGCTCACCCAGGGATCATCCACACAATTGAGTGGTCATCTGTAATTGCAGAACCAAAAGATATTATGTGAGGTACATGTAGAGCTCCCACTGACATCAGAGGGAACAGGCATCTAACTGGTTCTTGGGGCAAGGCTATTTCATCAACTTTCCATTTACATGAGCAAATGTAAATGGGGAGGGAAGTATCATCTAGTTTGAAATTTGATTGTTCTCAGAAACATAGGTATGTATGTCCACTTCAGGAAGCTGTTTGTGATCTCTTATTTTTTTTTCTACTTCCTTAAATACAGTCTTATCTGTTCTGAGTTATTAACATATCATTTGTTATTGCCAAAGGGTAAGATGCCACAGAGCTTTCCTATATCCCAATCTTTTTCAAAAATATTTTATGTATATAATCACAAGAAATAAAACCAAATATTTACTTCCCTTATAAAATAAACAGTAATTTCAGCTACATATTTTTTGAGCTAGATTTTGCATTTACTGACAAAAGACATCTATTGGTAATAACATGTCTGTATGCTTAGTCCTAGGTAAGATCCGAAGTGCTGTTGGAAGTGCTCAGCTCCTCATGTCTCAGAAATTCCAGCAATTTTATTGGCTTTGTCAGCAAAATCTGGTAAGTCAACATATCTGGTCATTCCTGAAGAGTTTGAGACTATTCATCCATAGATATTCCACAAAACAACTTTGAATTTTAGAATTTAATATTTTTACTTCAAAGGCAACCACAAAAACAAGTGTAGCGAACCCAAAGAGTAGTGTTCTGAAATGTCATTTTTATGTCTCACATTTTGTCTTACTGGTCCTTTTTCTTTTTAACTTAATCCTTAAGTGTGGTGTTAGTACATTTTTTTACATGTAATTTCAGTTATTTCAGTCTGGCTGTGTTTTGTCTTTTCTTCTTTTTCTATCTTTATTAAAGAAACAAAAATGAGAAGGGAACAAATGCAAGTTTTCTGAGACATAATATTATGGCTTATTTTTGTAATACCCTAAAATAGTAACTATATTTCTGGTAAGAAAGGAGAAATTTTTTACATTACAGTAAGTGGAGAATAGTAAAATAGCAGAATAGTGGAGAATACGTGATCCAGCTTTCTACCTACCTGAAAATAGGACTGCTCTTGGAAATGGAAATATACATAATGTTCCTAAAATTGAGTTTCATAATTTGCATTGCCAATTATATGTAACATGTCCTAGGGCTAAAGGAACAGATGCAATATATTACCTATGAGAGTTACTGCTATTGTTCTGGAAGTTCATTATAGACTAATTCAATTCTAAATGTTATCTTCATTAATATGACAGCAGCCATCAGTGATACAAACGCTGTGGCAAGATAGTACTAACCAAAAGAAGAACATAATTCTTCTAGATACAGTTAGTGGTAGAACACCTTCCTGTGGCTCACTCAAAAATTAAGTGTAACTTTCACCTTTCAACTGCCCTTACACCTCATATATCGAAGGTGATGAATTCTGTTGCATGCATGACAGCAGACATGACCTATATGTCTGGTTAGATACATTTCTTTACTTGTTAGTATTTGCCACATAAGTTTTTAAGGCTAGCCATTAATTCTGCAGAGACCTACTTGCTACTTTCCACCCATACAGTTAGACATCCAGAATTCCTGAAACTGCAATCAAATATTACTGAGAAAGTCATGCCAAAAATGTCCTACCTTCTGATAGAAAATGATAAGATATATGGTCCTCATTAGGAAAGAATCCAATTATCCACTTCAAAGACTCTGTCAAAACAAGAATTTTAATAGCTGTTACAGAATGACAGAGGAAATATGCAAAGTCAGGCAAGCAGGAGATGACCACATTTGTAGTATCAAATACATCATGTGTACTCCCTATCTAGTCATTTGTTTCGTAGCGAAAGGAGGAAATCTTCATCAATGTCTAAAAGTTTCTCACTGCAGATTTGAAAGTGCTCTCCATTACCTGATTGATTAAGCTATGCAAACTAAGATTTGGAGAGCCACTTCATTTATCCTCAAGTGGGTCCAGCACTTGTGCTTGAGAGCATTACTGTAATAACAAGCACAGCTCCTGCTCAGCACAGCCGTCAGCTGTTTGGAAGTGTGAACAATTCATTACTGCAAAAGCAATAGGAGCACAAGGAGAAATCTGCAGTTTTGCAGACACCATGACCAAAAAACTGGCAAGATTTTATTTCTCTCCTTCTTATTTGGAGAATAAACCTTTGAACTTCATAATAGCAGCTTTATCCCACCCTGAAGACTTAGGCTCTGAATATTCTTCAGCTTCATTAAATCAGCAATGGGCTCTGCAGAAAGCAGCAACTGCAGATCTTTTACCTCATTCATGTTTTGAGGCTTTTCTTCCTATGCCTAACGATAGAGTTTGTTGCTAAATAGTCACTTAGTGCATATCCACAGCAGGCTTACCATATGCTCTTAAGGCAGCATCTCGGTGCCCCACGGGAATGCTGACAGATAGCAGCCAGATAGTGCGTTCCCCCACTCAAAAACATGTAGCACTTACAGGGCTACCATACGGCAGTTTTTCTAACAGTGTTCATCAGCAATAAGCATAAATGTAGGACAAAGAACAATGGCATTTACTTCTGCCATTTCAAAATGCAGCAAGGGTCTTTGGAAGAGGAACAAACTTACCCAAATTGAAATTTAACTAGGAAATTCATCTCCTATGGACTTTTCTAAAGGGTTGGGGGAACTTTAAGGGACACATTTGATTATACTCTGGGTTAAGATCTCTTATCAAAGACTCTCACTTAGGATAAATTCATAAAAATATAAGCTTCAATAAAGTTTTTTTTTAAAGAATCTAGCTGGCTATCTCCTACAGTGTACTGTTCCCACTAACTGCTAGAAAAAAATCCATCACTGATTAATAAGTACTTCCTTTTGCATTATTCACATTATCTCTTGTAACACCCTGTTTTTTCTTTGAAGTGTCCTCCTCCATACTCTTTAGTCAGCATAGATCCTGCTCAGCTTGTGAGATGATGGCTCAGTATATCATGGTTACAGGCAAAACTAGAGCAGCTCAAACACCAGCTAGGTACTTTTTGCATGGTTTAGGCTTCCTTCAGGGAGGCCTGCAGAGCTGAATTCCAAATAAGATACAAATAAATGAGCAGCTTCTGAGAAGAAACAGGTTTAAGCCAATCTTTTCAAAACTTAGGTCTAATAGCAATCCTTTGTGCCAACACTTATTAGTGGACTATGGAACCTTCAGTGATGCAGCGGGAGGCAGCCCTCTTGTGTCCAGCCAATGCACCGCACACTCCACTGAAAGCACCCGCACTGGAGGCTGCCATCTTCCCAAACACGATGACCAGAGTGGGGTGCACAAAGGTTCAGAAGAGCAATTAGCCTTGATTCAGAAGGCAGTGGCATTTCAATGAGTAGCATCAATTTATCGCTGTTTAGAGGGAACAGTTTCCCTTCTCCCCAGAGAAACTGGGGAGAGGGACTGAGGAGACCAGGCTGGAGAGAACAGATTGCAATATAAGATACATTGCTGTGGGACTGTCCTGACAAATTTCACACAAGGGGTCGGTTCCTGAAGCCTGAGATATTGATCTCTGTAGAGTAACTAATACCACTGACATAAATTGGTTTGAAATAAATTGGGATCTACCCAATTAAGTAGTTTTCAGTGAACACTAATCTGGACTTGTATCATGATTCCCAGAAGTCTGATATAATCTATATGGCCAGTTCTGTTAAGTCCCCAAAGCTTCCCTATGTAAAGGAGACTTTCTTCTAGTGAAGAAAACTGCCAAGTGGATAGGCTTTTAGGCTGGTTCTTGGCCCAGATTCCCAAAGGGGTTTAGGTATGGGTGACACTGCATGTTGTCATGCCCAGCTCTAGGCATTCAGCTCCCACAGTGGCATCTGCAAACCCAAGTTCAAGTAGCAATTCCTAGTTTAAGACACCCAGAAATGTGTAATTCAAGGGACGAATTACATAGAAATGCTGACTTATGTCCCAGCTTTAAGGCAACTATGTGGGGACATGTTTAATATCTAAAATGCCTTTGTCCACTAGATTTGTAAAAATGGGGCACAGAGACTTTCTTTAGAAATAATACCAGTGTTTCTAACAGAGTAAACTAGTCATTACAGCTTTTGCCAAGAAAGGGGGAGCTCCAGAGTCCCTTTGGACTCCCACCTCTTCCAGCCCCATTCTGTAAACCATCTTAATGGCTTCCTCCTGCTCTGGGAGGGAAGAGACCTTTCTCCATCATCTTTACAGAGTTGTTATCAATTAAGCCCTGTTTCATTGAAGTGACAAAGCTGTCTTCTTGAACTAGTACCAATGCTCATAGAGCATAGGGTTAAGAGTCTGCATACCACCTTCTAATGTAAGTTGTATCCAGCGTTGACATCAGATGAATAGTCAAATGGAGGGTCATCCTGCTAATTGTTACCATCAATGTTTGCTCCGTTAAGTCTTGTGCACATAGCACCATTTAATTGAGTACCTGGGAATAGTGCTTTCCTAGTTTCTGAGCGTGATTCGACTCCCTGGAGAACAAAATCCTACCATTCCCATCAAAAGTCTATACCTTATGTATACATTTGAAAATGCAAAACAATGTAAACATCAAATTCACCATAAGTTGACAACATCTTAGTGATGTTGTTTTGCCTTCTAATCAGCTATCATGAATGCAGTTATTAACCATAAATATTTCAGGCTGGCTAGAATATGAATTATATTCTCCTTCCCTTTAATAACATCATGCAGAGTCTGTTTGTTCCTTTTCAGAAATACAGGTCAGCACAGCATGTGATGGTAAGGAACTTCTCATGCCACACGGATTCAGGAAGGCTCACATATGACATCCAACTCATTCATGTTTGGGTTGTGTAGAAGGCAAAACTTTCCAGTCACAGGTGCCAGCTGTAAAGCACACATAGCTTTAGCAGCACTGCAGCAATGTAATCTGGCATGCTGCCTTTCCCACCTCAAAGCACGTTGTTTAAAGCCTCCTAGTCTATTCATATGCTCTCCTCTGTTCATGACAGGACCCGAGTGCCATGCCAAGACCAACTTCCCAGGACCTAGCAGGTTTCTGGGACTTATTGCAGCTCTCAATTGAAGACGTCAGCATGAAGTTTGATGAACTGCACCAGTTGAAACTCAATGAATGGAAAATAATAGAATCACCTGAAAGGAAGGTAAGCAGACCACGGACAATACCATTTACTCCCCATTTGTACTCCTCTAGTCTCCTTGTGTTAAATACCATAGTGAAACACGATAGGTTTCTAACCCTAGAAAGTATCTAATTGTCATGGCCCAATTTATACACAGAAATCTTCATCAGATGTGTGTTTTTTCTTTTTAACAATGTTGACCTGAATTGTATAACAAATAAAATGGATTTTGCTAAATTAGCCCACTCCGAAACACTTTTGTTCAAATTATTTGGATTCGCAATCTAGAGGCTAGAACTGAAATATGTTCTGATTAATTCAGACTGAGCCCATGAATTCAGTCAAGGTAAACTGAGCACTCTGCTACATTTGGGGCAGCTCAAACCTGAGCACTACAGTGTTTAATCCTGACCGCACAACACAACTGATACTAGAACAGGAGCGAGATAAAAGCATGTGGCAAAATATAGTGCAGGTCAAACTAAAGCTTGGCCCACGAAAGTTTGGGGGACAAAACGTACTTCTGGCAAACTGCCTGCACCTCTGCCCTGCAACTCCACCACCTGGGAGGCACCCCAGCCACCATGCTTACAAACCAAAGGCAGCAAATTGTCCACAAAAGCAGTGTAATTCTAAAACTGCCTTTTCCATTGATAGAGCTTCATCCCTCACTTTAATTACCTCACTATCCTTGCTGATTATTGTATCAGTCAGATGAAGACAGCATTTGGTTTGAGTCAGTACTGTTTGGTTTGGGAGGAATTAGGAGGCATTTTGACAACTCTTTCATTTCTTCATGCTCCTCTTGGATTTTAATTTTCAGCCAACTGATTGGTGGATGGTGAGTTTGCAACTCTTGCTTACTAGTGACAACTGGAAGTAAGAAATTATTATAGTGACAGCAACAGTGATGTTCCTAAGAGAGAAATAACTAAAAGTAAAAAAAAAAAAAATAGGGGACAACAGGAATGGAGCCCTTATGTTCCTGGCTGAAAACAGGAAATAGAGAAAATAAAGACTGGAAGAGCTGGTTGTCATAGGGAATAGCAGCTTAGGCTGCTGCACTGTTCCTGTTGAATTGAGAATGTAAAACTATGTTCTTAAATAACCTTAGTTATTTAGTCTTGGCTAATGCATTTTGGTAGTAGACTTAGAATTTGCTTTAAAAAAAAAAAGACCAATCAATGAAAAGTCTATAAACCATAGGTGCATCAATTCAATTTTTATATTATTTGAATCCTGCTGTACATCAGATTAACTGTGTTCTCCATAAGGAACAGCCCATACTCTGGACTATTACTATTACTTTAAGAAGTGATAAATCAGAAAAATTGATCATAATAACCATACTATTAATATGAAGTTGTGGAGTCTCTGTCTTTGGGGAGATTCAGTCCAGTATTAAATATGATGCTGAAGAACCTGGTTTAACTTCAAAGTTTCATCTAATTTCAAGTGAGCTTTGAGTGGTGGTTGTACAAGATCACCTCCAGAGGCCCCTTCCAACCTACACTGTTGTATGATTCCATGATTCTACATTAGCTTTTTAAGGCACTTACATGATATTTCATGGACTCTAAATGGAGTAAAACATCAATTTCATACTTCAAAACAATTCTTGATTTAAAACCTGGAGATGAATTTACAGCTACTTTGGTACCAAAATCTACCGACTCTCACTTTATAATTTGATAATTCTTCAATATAATTTTCTTTAAAATGGTCCAGGCTGGCAAGCAGAACAATTAGCCCTATGTTCCTTCTCTGGCTGGTGCTTGCATGTTTCCATTTAGCAATTCATGGAGGAGACTAAACTAATAGACATATATACACAGCTGCTATCTCATATCCAGCTGAGGCTAAAGTCAGTACGATTAATTTAATTAAAAATCCTGTCCTGCTAATCTTAGACAGTCTTTTCACTTGATCAGACTACACAGATGCGCTGAATTCTTATTGGAGAGCCAGTGTGTGTTCCTGTTTATAATGAATGTAATAATGTGTCAACTAAAATTAAAACAAATTCATATGAAAGTGAGGTACGCAGATTGCATGTGCAGGATACCTGCAAGGACAGTAGAAGGAAGTGTAGTCTTTTTTAAGGCATAGGACTGCAGAATTTGTAATGGTTGCTGGAACAACAGGGTTTTGTCAGTGTCCCTAGTGTGGATAGCTGTTCATGTAATCCATTAGTCAGCTGATTGGAGAGCACAAATTGAGCATGCTTGATGTATGTAACCAGTATTTTGCATTTCATGTCTTCGATCTGCATGCTCTGCTAATGGTACCTTCCACACACAGTTCACCCTCCATTTTAATACCCTATTGCAGGAAGAAAGAAAGGTTCCTCCTCCTGTACCAAAGAAGCCCCCAAAAGGAAAATTCCCTATCACAAGAGAAAAATCTCTGGACCTACCCGACAGACAGCGACAAGAAGCTAGAAGACGGCTAATGGCTGCCAAGAGAGCAGCCTCTTTCCGGCAGAATTCAGCCACAGAGCGTGCAGACAGCATCGAGATATATATACCAGAGGCTCAAACCCGGCTTTAAAGACAGAATGCTGCAGAGTTCCTTTTTTAAACAAAATGCTTGTACAGTTTGTCACTTACCTGGTAATTTTTGTCTCATTCTCTCCACTAAATATGCCCTTGCTGTTGTGTTCTTTGTGCCATAAGCACAGTGGAATGCTTTTGATTTCCTCAGAATTTGCTGAGCTCACCGCAAGAACGACTTCTTTTTGTATTTATTGTCTGACTTACAATCAGCTACAATGGATAGGGCTTGTCGAGACCTGACTTATCCAATATATTCTCAGAGGACAACAAGAAACACCTCTTGAGATGGAACCCAGCTTACTTTTTTGTTATTTATATTTTTATAAAATGTGTGATAATTAGGGATAAGAATAACAAACTATAAATGGGTGCATCTCACCATTCACTAGAGGCATTAGCTAATCCAAGTAGAAGGTGCTACAAATGTAAAGAGCAGGAAAGAAAGAACCCATTTATCTCTCTGACCTCCAGTTTCTTTTCCTAGAACCCAGCTAACACATTTACCCATGTGCTCTGCCACTCTTCTCATCTTTGTTACTGCAAAATAACCTTAGGCCTCTCATGTCATGTCAAGTTTCTGGAGATGAACAGGGATATCCAGCCACTAAAACTCCAAAGTTCATCAGAAACCAAGAAGCATACAAGTCTGGTGGTGGTGGTGGTGGGAATGCCCACTGAGAAACGTTTGCTGTTAGCAGTGTAACGACACTCTGAAACCTAAGCAAAATTATAATGCAAGAGGACTTGAGTGATGGGTGAAAGGAAAACGGAAGCCTTAAAAAGTTAGATCTTCTGTAGCAAGATGTGTAAAGAAAAAGTTATACTCGCTCCTTTGGAACACTCATTGCATTTTTAACAGTTCTTTTACGTGTTAACATTTATTTTATAAACCTTCTCTCTTTCATTTCAAGAGCTATGCTACATGTAATATTTCAAACTCTCAAAATGTTATATCAATTGAGTTTCCAGGGTATCCTTGAGAAAAAAAAAAAAATCTTGCTTGTTTAAAATGCCAGTTGTGATGTTGTAAACAGTTTAAGAAATATGAATGTGAGTGGTAAGTATATCTAAGTTTAAATGGTTATGTTAAGGTAAAGGTGAACTGTGGTTTACAGTTGTATTTTTTTTTTTAGAACTATTTTTCTATGCAGTATCATTTATGGCAAGAATAAGCTTCTTGCTTGCTTCAGACATTAAAAAAAAAAAAACACAAAAAACATGACTCAAGAAATAAGTGATTTCCAGTCATGGAATATAAGGAAAATAATATATTTTCAAGCCTCACATTGTCAGAAGAGAGAAGTGGTAACTACCACAGTCAAGAGGCTTTAATTTAAAACAAATTAAGACACAGTTATTCCACTTCACCTACCTTCCAGAGCCAACTGAGTAACCCAGCACTTAGAAGTCTTCAGGTGAAGACGCAATAAGATGCGCAACCTGCATCCCCCGATTCCAAGGTTTGAATCCTACTGAACACTACTTTAGGTCAAAACAGTCTGAACCCAGTGAGACAAACAGCCCCAACTACTGCATTCCCTGTTTACCTGCTTTAACAAATGCAATGTATTTAGCCATAGGCAGAACAGCTATTTAATTATACTCGAGCACTTTGGTTCTTCACCTGATGAGCACTTTAAATCCAAATCCCACACACCCTGCAGCCTGATGGATGACTGAAAACATGAAGTATCATAGGTTATGCAGATCTGACATTGCTTCAAATCTGTTTTCTTTTTTGTTTGTTTGTTTTTCATTTTCCTTCTCTTTTTCCTACAGTGTGTAGTATTAAGCATGAGTTCTGTCTTTGGAGCACAGCTGATAAAGCATGTTTAGCTTCAAGATACGAATCTTTAGAGATGAAGTTTTGAGAAGTTTCTGTGAGGAGAAAACCCTGTAAATTGAGCCTGATATCTGGTATATACTTTACCAAATAGCCTTAAACTATATTTGGAAGCAAAAACCAAGACGAATGTATATCCTTCAAAAATGAAAAAAAAAAAATCCCTGAAATATTCTTCTATAAATGAAAACATTATATTTCCCATCCCTTGTGTTTTCAAGGCATTTTCTATTAAGGAAAGAGCTGAATCCTAGGTAGTGTACAATATTGATGCTACTTCCTATATTTGTTATACTATTTTAAATACAAATGTACCTGCAGACATTGGCATCTTTAGTCTTGAAAACCGGTATCTTATTTAAAGTGGAGCTGCTAATTAGAAATATCCACACAAAACTAAAGCCAGTGACTTTCCTAGATTTAAGAAATTTAAAATAGACACACACACCCCTATACATATATATATATATTTTTATATATATATATATATATATATATATATATGGCAGCTGATACATTTTATCTAATTTTCCTGTACACTTCAAGGAGAAATCCCACTTGACTTACTCGCTTGAAAACCCCCACCTGCAGCAACAGGTCATGCAATGAAGACAAGTTGTATTTGATTCTGCCTGGAATCAGAGTTTATAAAGACAAATTGTAAAAACAACAGATTACAGATAAGCTTAGATCTCAACTGACCTAGTAATACTGACTTGGAGCTGTCTGAATAAGTCTTTAATTTTAGAATCATATTTTGATAGTTTTTTGATATGTTAAAATTTTATTGGATGTTCTAAGGCAAAAATAGGCCTGCATGAATGGTGCCAACCCTGTATTTTACATTTCCCATGCCATTATGAGAAAATGTTCAATATAAGCTTTGGCTAGCTATGACTTCTGTTTGTTCCACCTTTGTTTCCAAAAAAAAAAAAAAAAAACCAAAAAAGAAAGAATCAAAAGTAAACTAGATGCCTACTGAAAAATCTGATAATATGTTATCTGTGCATGTTACATTTCCAAGTGCAATATATTACATTATTGTACAGGTAACATTCTATCATTAAAGGCAAATAATCCATTTCTATTTACATATTGTACATCCGGTTAGTTTAGAAAAATAGCATTATGCTTATCATACTTGTGTTGCAAATAAATCATAGTCAAATTGCTTCAGTCCCTGACATGAGAAGCACAACGTACGGTATCTTAATAAATATATAAACAGATCAATTGTAATTTGACCCCACATCATAAAAATAAAATTCAGTCACAAAGCCAATGTAGGAGGAACATAAATAAACATAAAGATGGAAAGTGGATGCTTTCTACTTAGAGACTTGATGATGTAGACCCACACAGAACAGCTGGATAGATGAAAGTCATCTAGTGTTTAATTAAATACTAATCAGACTAAAATTTATTTTAACAGATGAAAATTATAGAAAGTCTGTGTTCATTTTTCATTGCCTGTAAAACACAAGTATAATAAACAGAATTCTGAAAATTTAAATAAAAAAAAAGACCTGACTGGTAAAATTGTTGATATTTGCCATACTTATTTTTGCTTTGTATATTTTTTTAGATTTGAAATTATTTGTAAATTGGTGAAGTACATTATGAAGTGTTTTATTATTTCATGTCAACCTGATTAGAATGGCCTTTGGCAGTGTGTGAAGACTAATAATGTTGTACAGTTTAATACCAAAAAATGGCATTTTAATTCATGCTTAAACCTGGTCACTATGTTAGATTTGATATCAGGAAGGAATTAAAGCGTGCATAGGAAGATGTGTGGATTTCATATATATATATATATAAAATACATTTCATATAATGGAAATTATTTGTTTTAAAATAAGTCCATGTCCTGCTATATCAGTAAATTAATATTCTAGTTTCATCTTCTTCAGCACTGCAACTGGTATAAAGTGAGGGAATGTTCGGTCATTGGGTGATTTTGCCAGGAAAAGAAATAACTGCTACGCGATGACGTGCCATACGAGAACCGCAGTCTCCTCATGCCCTGCTGGAGCGGTGCCCTTGAGAGGCTCCTGGCCCCATGGCACCCCCGGGCAGCACCACTGCTCCGCGCCAGGTCCTCCCCACGCAGGTCCGCCCTGGCCCCCTCGTGCCCAGAGCAGCGTGCCTCCAGATCAGCCCATCTCAGCCCTTTGTGTTCAAAGCCTTGAGCCTGCCCTGCCCAGTCGGTGGGTTTGATGTCCTCCTCGGCGTTTCAGCGTGGGTGCCAGTGGCAGGGGGCACACCGGAGGCTCATCCATCGAGTGCTGGTTTGTGCGTGTTAATTTGAGGTCTGAAGCTGGTTTGGCAGCTCCAGGTGTCAAGCTGTGTGTGCTGAAAAGCTGCGAAAACCTATGTAGCAGAAGCCTCAGTATTAGAGAGAGCCAGTATGTAATGTGAAGCAGCATTACTCCTGTTGCTGTTCCCAGAGGATCTTATGATGTAGTGATACCACCCGCAAACTGCATACGAGGTGAGGAATATCAGTAAACCCCTTAATGTCTAGCAAGGTGCTTCCTGGTGCGTGACAGGTTGACACTTGCTTACATTTATACAGTGCCTTTCATCCAGAAGGATCTCCAAGCACTTTATTAGCTGACACACAAACTCCAGGCTGGGCTGCAGCTGGGACAGGTCACCCTGCCCATGGCCTGGTGAACCATCATGGCAGGACACTGGGGGCTCTCCTGCCTGTCCCCATTATGCCAGGGAGTTTCCTTCCACAACATCCTCCCAGCACCCGGGAGGACCCTTACAGTCCAAGCCTGTGCCAAAGGAGAAGCAAAGACTTGCTGAACCAAGAGAAAGGCCTGAGCGAAGCAAAGCACAGGTGAGGACAATGCTCATATGGTCCCTCCAGGGTGTAGGCAAGGAATGAAGAGTATCAGATAAAGTTTCCAGAACAATCTCTACTTTTCCTGTTCACAGTTGCAGGGAGGGTCTTCACGGAGGAGGAAATTCCCTGGGAGGGCGCCGCAGGAGACCCCTGGCCAGTGCCAGGCGGGGGAGCTGATGGCGCCTGCAGCTGAGCCCTCTCGGTCAGGGATCTTGGCAAGTCTCTCCCTCACAAGTGCATTCCCCCCTGGCTTTCTTAGCGGGAGAGACTCATCTGGGGCACATGCTGCAAAAGCAGCCTGCCCCTGTGGCATAACTGCCACGTGCCCTGTTCTGTCCCCAGGTCTGCCCTCCAGCGAAGCTAAAATGTGGCACGGGATTTAGGCATAAGGATTATGCTTCGGTTTGGGCAGCTGCTCATTACTGAGACTGAGCTCTAACCCTAAGGGTTCTTTGTATGGCAGAGCAATGGGGACGCCTCTCTCTGCATTGGCAGGATCAGCAGACTAGAGACAGGTATTTCATACAGCAGATAACAGAAAGAGGATATATACATACACACATATATATATATGTAACAACCTTTCGGTGTCATGGTCCCAGAGAGTTGGACCTGGGAACCACAGTCAACACTCACGCTCCTCTAGACCATGCCACTTTCTTGCAGCTCAGCCTCAGCACTGACAGCCATGGCAAGTTCACTGCCTAGTGCAGCCCCATGGCCCATCTGCAACTATCCACCATGTTCACCTCCAGGGACCATCTTTGGGAACAGCTGTTTTATAGCATACTCATATGCATACACAACTCCTGGCGGGAATTAAGCCCTCTGTATACACAGAAATTGCTTAATTTATCTCTGAAATGCAGCTACCTCTATGGTGTAATGCTGCAGCTGTTTAACTACATAATAGGCTGTTCAGGACAGCAAGTAAAAAACTGAAATTGAAATGGAAACTTGCCCAAAAGAGAATTTGGCCAGCATATTAAGACTGATTCAGCTTGTCTTAATGAGATAAAATTCTAATAGCTGCAAGAGGCCATGGCATTCGTTATATCTAAAACTCATATTCCAGATCCCTTCTCATTAAATGCATATCGCATTTCATAAACGACGATCACAGAAGAACACTGCACATTCACAGTCCCACCTTTCCACACATGAGTGTTTCTCCCGTTACCCTTCATTGCTGAAATAGAACTGGGCTTCTGAAGTCAGATAGTAGATAATGTAAATTAGTATGTATACGCAGCTTGCTCTTTAACTGAGCAAACGCAGAACAGTTTTCATCAGTTGGCAATTTAATTCTCTATTTTATTAAGGCCAAATTGTTATTTTTCTAAATTGGTTTTGTTGGACAGGATTTTTTACTTCTCTAGTACAAAACCATGAATATTTTCACCTAAGATTAAATGAGGGGGAGGTTTATTTGAAGATATGGTCATTACTCACCAACACAGTAGTGAGGATTTTTCTTCTCCTTCACTTACTCTTCTTTCATTCAACACAGCATTTCCTATTCCTAAAGCTGAACTGTCATGCAGGTTTCTTATTTGTGAGATGAATTATTGCAGAGCTTCAGGCTAAGTTCTGATCTCAGCTGTATTAGAATCAATGCTAAGAAACTGAAATTCGAAAGAAATGTCAGATTCGGATCAGCATAATTCAGATCAATATCTGACTCAGCAAGTCCTACTGAGGTAGGAAAGACTCACTGTCAGAGTTAGCAACTGCATAACCACTTTGTAGAATGTAGTTCTTCCTTTCAGGTAGGTCACAATCAAGCAGAGGGCTTGGTAGTTGCTCCAAGCCTCTGATGATAGTCCTCACAAAGAAATACTAGCTTTGTTTATAATTACCTGCGGAATCCACATGCTCATATCCATGCTTTGATTTACCCTTCGGAGGTTTAATAGTATGGCCACCTCATTTTAAAAGGGCTCAGCATTTATGTATTCTTTAGTTCAATTTATATATTAATTTCCTGAATTAGTATTTCCCTTTCAAGTAGCCTGAATTATACTGCTCTAGAACTGTTCTTTCCTGAAGAAAAGCCACTATGACTGTGCAGGATTTTCTGTACAGAGACAAAATTCATACTTCCATTTATCATGTGACATGCCAAAACAATCAAGTGTGGCCTATGGACTAAATTAAATGCCTCCTATAGAATTTCAAGGAATGTTAGAACCAGGAAACTAGCTGTTTAGTTATCATTAAAAGTATATATAAATATATATAAATATATATATACATAAGAAATCATATCAACAATGAGGATGAACTGAGTGCCAAATATTCACCATCTGTATAAAGCTACACTTCACTAGAATTAAACTATTTTATGTAATTCTCTTTCTCATGCTTTTATGGTTCTTTTGATAAATTCTATTTAGTAGCATGCAGGATACCTAAATTGAATGTACAGTATGTTGTTTCATTGCTACAATAATTTCTCGCTTCTCAGTAATATCTTCTTTACCAGAATGTTATTTGTTACTTTGAAGACATATTTGAGAATTGTTTTATTATTGAGTTATTCTTTTTTCATGGTTCTCTACTCACCTCCAGCTGATTGTAAGAAAATGTGCTTCACTATTTTGCCCCATGGCTCTTTTATGAAGCTGCCTCTTTCAATTGGTTTATGTATTGTTTATGTTCATCTCCTGTAAATAATTCTGCAATTAAATTTTTTGAGAAAAATAGAGTATACTCTTTATTACATTTTAAATTTTGCATTGGGTAAAATATGCCATTTCCAATCAGACAATTTGTAGACTACGCTATTAGTTTAGACATGTAGTTTTTTGAGTGTCAGGAAATTCATTTTCAGTAGAAGAATTTTTATAGGGGTTTTTTCTGACTTCAAAGGAAGACATGTTTAAAACCCGAAGGAATTTGGCAAATAACAGAATCAGCTATGCAATGCTATTGATGTGTTTTGATTTATAGTCATTAATACTATAGGTATAGAATATCATGCACTGATTTTGAATCAGACCATTGTGTGTCATTAACAGAAAGAATAATAGCCTCTTTTGTATGTAAAATATCCAAAATTCAATTATTTGTAAGCAGTCATTATTGGGCAGAAGTAACTGAAAGAACTTGTTGTGGAAAGGTGAATCCTGGACTACCTCTGTGTGTGTTTTTTGCTGTTTGCAACAGAATCGCCAAAAAGAATTTTTAGCCCACTTTATGTTTTTCAGCTCCTTCCAGGGCAGACAAGTCTTCTTCTGGAAATGGCTTTAGCATCTCAGCAGAAAATTTGATTAATACTTTGCATTGGCCACACCTCTTAATAAGACAGAAGCCACAGTAAGGCATGAAAGGAAAATGTGTGGAGTCTCTGAGTCTAAATAAAGGAGGTACCAGAAATACTATGATGAATATTAATTTATTTGGCAAAGTGCTTAGTTGCTGGAATCATTGGATTTTTATTACTTATTTATTCTCTATAGTATTGTAACACTTAGGAGCCCTAGCTATGGACCAAGACAACATTGTACATTTACAAAATGGTAAGATTTCCATTAACCCGAAGAGTTTACAACCCAATCATTAGTTGAGAAACAACAGATAGGCAGAGAGAAGTGAGATATTATTAATTAAAATGAAGAGCAGTGGTTGCAGCAGCCCAGCAGCCCATCAGTTGTCAGTTTTTTCATAGCCATCAGAAAAAGAGAGGATAATGAAGTGGGTTGGAAGATACCCTCAGGGATCTCTTCCCAAGAAAGAAGGGAGCCCAAGAAAGATGTTTATTTGAAAATTTAACACAGAGATGATGAATTTTTGTGCCATAAGTCAACTGGAGGTGGAAGCTGACATCTCCATAATTAATGAATGATGCTAGTTACACCATGGACAAGTGGTATACGAAGAATCTGTGAAAGGTCTTGGCAGTAAGACCAATAGAATTAAATATTCATTTCTCTGCTGGCTCATTCTTTGTAAAAAGGAATTTTCATCTTTAATACCTGTTGTGGAAGGCTCTAAATTTTCCAGCTATATGTCAGCAATTCTAGTGAAAAAGAAATTTAGAGAGAGAGAGGTCATTAGAGCAGCTAAGCACTTCTTTTTGTCTGTATCCTAACAGTAGATGTTATGACCTAGAGCGTCGCCCACAGCAGTTCTGTACTGATGTTTTACAACTAAGAAAAGCCTTGATCACTTCTAGCTGAAATTCCAGTAACCACTTAGATTGTCTTAGCCTTGATGAGTTCCCTAAAATAGGGTGATCCTTCCTGCAATCTGGAAAGAATGTCAGGACTAACAAGCAAACTGTTTCTCGCACAATAGTATCACAGATTGTTGCACGTCAACCTTAGTATTATAGGCATACCCATATAAATTTGGACAGTCATTGCTGATGAACTAGTAAGGTCAGTAAAGCTGGAGCACAGAAGTGGCATATTTTAATTGCTGAACCAAATAATCAGGTGCAGAGTACATGTTCTAGAATTAGCATATTTATTCCAGCTGAACTGCACTGACACTGGCAGTGGGTTTGTGGAAGGCTGTTATTATTTTGACTGTAGCAGCACAGCTGAAGTGTGAAAATTTTGAAATGTAGACAAGTGCCTTACATAACCTATTTCAGCCCTAACACAATCCCTGGACATATTCTGACGTGAATTTTTAAACAATCAATTTATAAGTAGCTAGAGGATAATACAACGATAAAAACTAAGCAACACTGATTTGCCAACATCCTATCATGTCAACCAATTCAATTTTCTTCTTTGACAGGATGAATGGCTTAATGGATTGCATAAAAACAGTAGCCTGTTATAGATCTTCACTTCATTAAGGCTTTTGATACAGTTCCAGTGTAACATTTTTATATAAAACTAGGAAAATATTGTCTAAACAAAATTGTTGTAAAATTAAATCTGATGCAGCTGAAAATATTATTTTAAGTATACATATATCCTTGATGAATTGTGGAACTGAAGGGCTTCTGAAGTGGGAGAGAAAGGGAGAATCTTTCAAAAATCTAGCCTACTCTCAGTATGAGTCAATAATTTCATTGAAAATTTTGATGATTTACTAAAAAAATGTAACATTCATTGATCACATGATATGGATCTGGGAGAGGATCTGTAGAGGATCTGATCAAAATTCACAGTGATCCCCCCCAAAATGGACACACTTTCTAAATCCAATGTGATGTAATTCAGTGAAGAAAAAATGCAAAATGCTATACTGAAAAGATATGATCAAGCTCAGATATGACAGAAAATCTGTTTGGGAAAAAGTAGAGCAAAGAAGATGTGGTCTATGGTGGATCACAAGCTAAACGAGAGTCAACCTGATGCTAAATCAACACCAGCTAAATCACATGCTCTTAAGGAAAGGAGAAAGCTAATAGTGACTGTATTACCATATCATTAAATTAGTGTGGCTTAACAAATTATTGTGCTGTGTAATTATCCATGTATACACAATCTTAAATTGTGGCATGCAGATATTACTGGACTTGACATTACAAGCCAAGCTAAAACAAATTACCCATAAAAGGAAGAAGTCTTCAAATCCATAAAAATCAAACTCAGGTATCAGAGGTATGGCTCGTCCTCCTCCATCTAGGCTGGTCAGTAGCAATCTCCATGGCCACTACGTTTTGTTGTATGTTGAGTGTCTAAGGACTTTTAACAGGCTGAGAGCCCCTTTCAGGACCTTGGGTTGAGATTTTGCAGGTATCTGTCCTAGGTTTGAACCACAGCAGGGCTGTGTTGTGTGCTTGGCTGCCTAGATTGTCATGTTTGTGCAATGGCGGGATACAGACTCTCTCCATCTTCAATTTAGCCACATCCACCCAAGTCCTCTCTGAGATGGCAGAAATTAACATCTGAATCTCAGGCAAATGTTCAGAATGTTAACAGGTGAGGTAGGTAGACAGAACCATCTCAGAATATCTAAAAGTGACACTGAATGACTGAGTCCTCAGTCATGCCACTGAGGAAGTATCAAGCCAGATTCTGGGGATGTAGGGATGTCTCCTGTACACTACAGAGAGGTTCTTGCTTCACGCTGTTCAATATTGGTAAGGTTTTTGTTAGAGTATTAAATCCTGTTTTGGAGGAATTGAGAAGCATGTGGAGAAAATTCAGAAGAAAGTAACAGGAATTATAAGAGCTTTAGAAAGCATGACCTAAGTGAACAGAGTTCAGAAAATGGATCAAGAGAAGACCAACTTGTTTCAAAACAAAGAGGTTGTTATGAACTGCTAATGCAATTGCTTCCCCATTCCCTGAAAGGAGGTTATTATCTTAATTAGCATGAGTCTAGCTTCTTTTTTGTTTGGATAAGGGTAATGAATCCTGGAAAAAAATATTTAGCTCAAGGACTCAGCAATACAAGGTAGCAAACATACCCTATGTAACCTTGCAGATGTGATCCACATGTCAGAATCCCTCGGAGAGCCATAGGAACCACCACCCAGCATCTGGCCTGCACACATGCTCTGAAAGGGATGCGCACAGATCAGCACTCCCCTCCTCTCCCTTAACACACTATCCTATTTATAAGCAACTGGCCATTTGCAAGTGTAAAAGAGGTATTCACCTGCCAAAGCTGCAAGTGCTGCTCAGAGGGTTGTTTCCCAGCTCTTCCCAGGAAGGTGGATGTAAGAGGCTAGCCTGGCCCACGACCACGGCTGGTCTCCCAGCATCACCTTGCTCACATGTACCTCAGCTGGCCTCAGCACTCAGGGAGATGACTGCTCAGGGTCATGGGTGGATCTCCACTTCTTCCCCTGTGTATTACGGGTCTGTCAGATCACAAAGGAATGAAGCTGGGCCTCTCTTGAATAAAAGGCCTAAGTATTAAATAAAGAATTGTAGAAAATTGATGATAGCAGCCAAGTCAGCAACGTTCTTTCCTCAGTATGAGGTTCATATCCCTTTTTATTCTTAGTAGGCACTGGGCTGCTTGATTTCTGCTCCATATGAGGAGGAACATCACCTCAGCCTTTACCGCCGAATGGAAGCTCAGATCCTGACCAGGCATAGAATTAACATGCTCCACCAAAATCTCCTAGAATCTTCTTGTGGCTGTTGTGTGATTATTGTATTCTCTGCAGTAACTGACATGCTCTGACACTAACTTGCCTGCATAGGTGTGAGCTGTTTGGACAGTACATAAAACCATCGAGATCCTTGCTTGTCAGAAGGGCTGTGCACCTACCATTGCTGTACTTGGTTCACCTCCTTGCAACTGAACCTCATCATGCTCGCTGCAGAGCTTGGCACTGAAATATTTGAGGAGGACAGGCTTAGGTCAATGGAATGGAAAATAATGACAAATCAATTTAAATGCAGATCCTTGAGGAGTGTATGATAATAGACTGCTTCAAGCAAATTTAAAAAGGAAATTAGCTTTGGTAAAAATCAAGGATTCTAAGTATTAAGAAGTGACATAAAACCAATCATAACAGAGGTGATAAACCAGTTTTGCCAGATAGGAAATAAATCATGAGTGAACTGTAAGGGAAGCAGATCAATGTTATGCTTTGGGGTTTGAATATGTCAAAGTAAATTTTGTAAAATATTTATAAATTTATGGAGCATTGACAACATCTTAGAAAAAGGCTGGCATTTAGAATTTTATTAATGTTTATATGTATATATTTGTATGAGTTTATATAGCTTTGTGTGTATGTATATATATATACATATATTATATGTATGTATAAATCCATA